ATATATATATATATATATAAAACTATTCAACACGACCCATCCTCACGTCTATTCCGCAGATGCCAGAACTCCTTATATTCGATTCGTTTCCCCTCAGCCGTCATCCACAAAGGGGTTTCAACTGTTCGCATATGGGTTTGGCTGCTTGAGGATTGCCGTCTTCCTTATGGATATCGTTGTATTCTGGTCGAGTCAGTTCTTCGTGGAGTCTTCGGTGAGCTGGGCAAGTGTGGATTACAGATAGTGAATTGTTCATAGGCAAGTTTTGTACCAATTACACGACCCCAGAGAGATGAGAGACCCCGTCAGCCTGAGGTCGGTATCGAACCAGTACCTTGTTCACGATGAACGGCGTCACTGCCACTACATGCATATACACTTACGTATATTCACACTTACATAGACAGGCATGTAATTTTATATATATATATATATATATATCATGAATCATATGTGTTATCTTTGTTTTGTTTCCTCCTTTGCATTTTCACATTGTTAAGTAGCATTTCATTTCATTTACAAATGTCGTCTTCGAAATATTTCTTGAGCTTTTAACGTACACATTCCGTCTTGGGAAATGAAACAATATGCGTCCTTGTTAACGAAGATTTTGTGGATCTTAATTTTAGCAATATTCATTTCAACCACTAAACGTTACCATATATTGAAAGAGAACTGACAATTTGAAGGAGGAAATGAAAAAGGACATTCTTTTTTATATTTTATACGACCCGTCTTCACGTGTACTGTGGGATCCCATCACGTTTCACATTCGATTCGTTCCCTCTCATCCATTATCCACGAAGATCTTCCAACTTTTACGTGCGGCTTCGGTTTCTGCTTGAGGATTTTCATTTCATCTTGAATGTCGTAGAATGCTGATCGAGCAATTCTCCCTGGAGTTCTGAGGTAGCCATAGCGTACCAATTTCTCGACCTCGCAGGGATGAAAGGTTTAATTGGCAGGAGTGGAATCGAACTAGCACCATACCAGTGATAACGGACATCACTACCACTGTGGTATATGCCGTTTTCAAGTGACATTGCTTTCTGGGTAAAATCTGGAAAAATATTTTTGGTAGACGATAACGGTTAATCGATTTTATTTTGGATCTGATTCATTTAACAAATCTGCTAAACAAGGAAAGTCGAAATGTGTGTTAGAATTTCTTCAAGAGTCCTGGTTTTTTGATCACTGAGAGTTTTTGAAGCAAAACAACAAGGTGTGGAAAAATTCCTTTAATCGAAGCGATGCTCTGAAATTGTTTCCGTATTGGTAAATCGGTGGTGTAGCAATTCCATGAATGGCCTTAACCCTATTCCACCCCATTTCGACATTGGCAGTGTGCTAGAAATGAATTTTCCACCGACTCAAAGAGCGCTATCATGACAGGTCAAATACTGATGGCGGTAGATCGAACCGATCGATAATCTAGAAAACGCTGCAAATATACTGTACAGGGAAACCAGTACACTGAGTAAATCTATTTGCGCACGGCTTTTACCTTTATCAAAATCTGTTGAAATCTCTAAGCACACTACTGGAATTCAGTTTAACATCTATTATGAGCTCTTTTTTGATATGGTTGTCCAATATGCTTGTCTACAGCATTTCTCATAAAATCCATTTTTAGAATCTTCAATTTATGTTAATCCATCCATAAAGAAATCTGGTGTTCAGGTCAAACCAGACGTTTTTTATGAACCTAACAAGTTTGATAACCATCGGGATATATGACCAATCATAGTGAGGTCCTTACTAAACTGTCTTACGACGATTAGCTGCGATTTGCTGTAGAATTGCCGCACATTCATGGATATCTTTTTCTGCCTTCAAGACTAAAGCACTGGTCCTTATTTGTCGGAGATGACTCCGAAAAAACTTTTATTTTTCTTCGAAGCTATACGTTTTGGGATTTTGACTGGAAGGAAAAGCAGGATACAGTCTACATGTAAGTATACTGGGACAAACGCATGTGTGGGGTATGAGCAATTTCGAGGTTGATCATGCAGGATTGCATTTTTTTGAAATTTTTTTTTTGCATTTTTTTTGCATTTTTTCCCAATATGCAGAGAATCCAGCTGTATATCGAGATTATGGATTCATGGGTGGTTTGTTTCTGTTTGCATCAATCTTTCAGTGACGTGCTAGCTGGAAAGACTTCCAAGATCCATGGGAGTTCGTTGATAATGTTCTCATAAGAAGACACCTTTTTCAATGTTTTCTACACCACGAAACTCACTGAAGACCATATGTTGGTGAAAATGAGATTAAACTGGAAAAATAAAGTTGGCTTTGTTAGGATGTGTCGCGTCTGGCAAGGCTACGTCAGGATTTGCCTCTCAGTGCAAGTATTACTTACTGATGATAAGTTGGATATTTCCGTTATACCCATAGATTTCGATTTCTCAACACTGCAAATCTGTTACAATGGGTCGAAAACCCGAGGTTTAAAAATATTCAAGTGGAAATGAACCATGAAGAAACGGGATTTTAAAAACGGTGTCTTTTTATTAGTAACAAACAAGCCACTCTTTGAGCACTTACTTTTAAAGCTTCCATCTATTTCCAAGCTAAACACGAAGTCTGTATAAACCTGCGTTAATCTTATGAATTTTGGTGTTGTGGTTTTGAAAAACAATGAGTCGCTTCCATTATTTACTTAGTGTTTAAGATGGCTAGCGAAAACAACGCCGCAATTTCCATTTTCTCAATACAACCCAACTGGGTGGGTTTTTTTTTGTCCCATCGCTCAGACTTCGAGCAAAGTATCCATCCCCAGGGCGTTCTGCGGTTGTCCATCACAACGCAGACAGTCGTCGTCCCTTGAGAATGATGCCAGAACGTTCCCTGATCGTTCATCACCATACAGACAGTCGTCATCTATTGAGAGTGATCCGAGCATTGCCCGGTCATCCATCATCGCACAGGCAGTCGTCGTCCATTGAGAATAATGTCCAAGCGTTCCGTTGCCGTCCGTCACCATACTGAGAACATCCGTCCCTTATGAATGATTTCCAAGCGTTCCTCGGTCATCTAAAAGTAGTTGTCCCTTGAAAACGATACTAAAGAACTCTAAACACACAATGTTTGAGCGCTACTGGATCGTCTGTCACATGGCGTCGTTTGTGAACGCTGTCCGAGCGTTTCTCGGTCATATATAACTGCATGGACAGTGCAGAATCGTTGTCCTTTGAGAATTCCCGAACGTTAGGGAGTCATATAATGCCAGATCGCCCTAAAGTTGTCCATCAACGCACAAGCAGTCGCTTTTCCTTCAAATGTCCGAGCGTGCTGGAGCCTTTCTTTCACCATACAGACCTACATGCATCAGCACATCGACATCCGAAGCTTTCTGTTTCTTAAAATCGACAGGATTATCGCCTTGCATGACCATTTCTACTAGCTGTAAGCAAATCTCGTTCAATACCAATTGTGAAGGATTTCGGTGGACATCTTCACGACCTTTGGTTGTCTTAATGACGAGAATTCGTGCGGGTGGATACACTAATGAGAATTTGATGCATAGGAAAAGATTTAGATCGTAGGAAATGCTGGGGACATTTTAAACATTGAAATCATAAAAATTCTGTCAATGTACAATGAATAAGGCTATTAAGGAAAGAAGAAGTCAGAGAGGCCTATATAGTAAAAAGTGCGACTAGGACACAATATCATATATTTCATAACGAGCATGAGTCACATATCCCTGACATAAATGTACCATATTGGAAGCCAAATCCAGCTAATTATTTCCTTTTTCAGTTTTTGCTTTAAAATAAAGTGAATGGCAACACTTCATTTATTTACTTCAGCCTAACATCGGGGGATAAGTCCTAATATTTAAATGTGAATATCAGGCTTCAACTTAAGTTTTAATGGTTATGAAGTGTTGGAGAATTTCTGTTTAATACTGCATATGAGCTTTATAGTAGATGAGTTTGACATATTCAGATATTGCTAACTTAGCGTCAAAGTACAGTTAGGTTATTTTTTGCCTACGTCTTTGCAATAAACAAAACTATGCGGACTGATTAGCCTCGCAATGGGTTATTTTTCTAAGACCCTTCAAGAAGATGAAATTAGTCTGCAATATTTCACTTAATCACTTCTTTTCGCTAACGCAATTGAAGCAGAAGTGAGGTAACTCTTTCGAAGAAAATTAGATGCTCTTTAGCATTTCAATTTAAAAAGTGCTTGCAAAGGTTTTTGTTTCTCATATGGAACGGTTTTATTTCGAAAAAGAAAGAAAAATGTTTTGCAAAATCTCTATTGAGTAGCAGCTTTCTAATGACACCTATATTTATTGATTTTTTGACCCTCGTAACTATTTAGATGGCCACGTCCACAACATCCGTTGATCAATTTAGCTCCCAACAGACGTTTTTGTAAAAAAAACTTTACTTCTCATATAACGAATTGATTCCATTAGATCACTAAATGAGGGTGTAGCAGATTTTGTCATACCGGATAAATATGCGAATAGATGAACGAAAATTGCTCTGAGGAAGGCGAAGTACTATCGAGACGTCTGTCATAGCGAAATCATTTGTGCCACATCATTATTACTATGTTAGCTTTTTATTTGATACCTATTACAATTTTTAAAAGCAGGCTACTATGTGCGATACAATAGTAATGGTGCTGAGATATTTGCAACACTCTGGACCGCAGATGTCTACAGTGGGGAACGAACGCGCTATTACCCTTTCCGGGGGCTAACCCGTTCACCACCACACCATGCAGCTCCTTCATTTCGCCTGCCTATCAGCTAGTTTTCTATCCATCAATGCCATCAGCAATCACCCGAAAAGGTAATGGCGCGTTCGTTCCCAACTGCAGACACCTGTGGTCCGAAGTTTTGCAGATATCTTAGCATCATTGCGATCATTACTACTATTATTTCTAGTATACTTAGTAAACACTACTGTTGTTAAAAGCCTGATAATTGCCATTATTTATTAAAAGTAGCGGAGGGCTATTATTGGTAATATTATTGTTAGGGGCGCGTGTAGCGAAGTGGCCGGTGTCCTGCAATACACATGGGATCGATCCTCGCGCCCAGGTCCACCAACCCCTCCATCCTTCGGGAGTCGGCAAATTGGTACCAGACTTGCTTGGGAGGATGGCAGCACTGGATCGATACATCGGTAGGCCACCGCGAGTCACTGTAGTGGCTAGGCACAATCACCTCCAACGATGAAGTCAAATGCATGGTAGATTCCTTAGGTATAAATCAACACCAAGAGCTTTATCCTTTTCTATCCTTTTAATATCATTGTTACTATCATATTATTCTCATTAGCTCTAGTATGAGCATGAGGATTATTGTCGAGGTCAACAAAAATTCAGTCAGATGGAATGATTTTCTTGTCATCGTCGTTCAACTCCAAAAAAATGGGCGTGCCGTCAAACATTTCCACACTTTTCGGCAAGTTTCATGTAACCACAGTTGCTCTTATAATACAAGTATACACATATATATGTATAAATATATATATGTAACATAGCAATAGATAATGCAATAGTATAAATATAGTATAAATATATGATGTAATACAACACATAAAGTGTAAGGGATAAAGCTCTCAGTGTTGATCAATCACTGAGGGATGCGCCATGCATTCGACTTCATTAAGTATCGTTGGAAGTGATTGAATGGATTTCTGGCTTTTACAATTACTCGTGGTGGCCTACCAATGTATCGAACCAGTGCTGCTGTTTTCCCAGATAAGTCTGGTACCAATTTACAGACCCCGGAGGGATGGAGGGCTTGGCGGGCCTGGGGTGCGAGGATCGATTCCATATGTGTGTCGCAGTGGCGCCCTCCACCCACTCCGGCACACGCGTTCATATAATGCATAAATATAATATAGATAGCAATATATAATACAAGAAAGATTAACGGCACCTTATTAAAGCAGATGAAATTCAGTGTGAACACATGGATCCATACATACATATACACGCCATCCAAGCAGCTACTTACTTGATGCTTGAACAGCCCGTCATCACTAGTTATGCGGGCCCCAGCGTAATCACCACTTTTCGGAGATTTCCTGGTTAAGCCATTGTGGTTCCCGGGAATCCCGAGGGTAGTCTGACCAAAGTCTGCTCCAGGTCGTCACTACGACAAGCAGTCGCAGCCCTTGTGGATCGGAGGGAGATTTACCCCCATACTACTTTGAACATTGATACCAAGACGGTGATGGATCTTGGTATCGGTTTACTCTTAGCTGGGCTTCGTGATGGAAACGCCGGCAAGCAACTAAGTAATGGAAGTCAGTAAATAAGTAAATAAGTAAGTAATGGAACTGAGAACTGTTTTCAGTCTCTACTAGTCCCGTTGAGTTCCACTATAACACTACAAAATTAGGTGTAGAAGCAATTATTCCAAGTAAATGAGCTCGTCAAGCTGGCAATGCTGGCAATTACGAGCCGATAGCATGACCAAGTGAGCTAAATGGCTTACTTCCGATGGCATTAATCAGCTTGTTGCGCATGCGACAAGCGTCTCTTTTAGCCTTTTCTTTTAGAAAACATTCGTTTGGATGGTCGATTGCAAGTAACAAGAAAAAATACTAATTCCACGTCGATAAAAACGAGAACCTACCACATTTGAGGGCCGATTTTCCGTAGACCAAAGTTCTTTCTTTTTTAACACTTTCCGCAATGGGTTGTATCTCTCGATTGGTGAAAAGGTTGAATAAAGCCGCATTTGGTCATTAAGGGAAAGTAGTGTCCCCAGTGTCCCAATGGTTTTGAATATTGCATTCTAAATTATTGTTACCTCAAGATTTTTTAAGCTAGGCAAAAAGTACAAGCAGAGTTATTTATAGAAAGACTGGCAGGAATCAATGTACTTTATTGGAAAACGAGCAACGCTCAACGAGCGTCAGTGTATTCGGAAAAATTAGCATCCAAAACTACGGTACTTCGGGTGGAACTCGTGGCGTAGATCGTAGCGCTTAAGTGGAGCAACTACCCTGGGAAATTATTTAGTTGGTGTATTAAATCTACACAAATAAATTTTTTTACGAATTCTTTTTCAGCACGAAATCCGATCACAGGCGAAGTGAAACAGCAACCATCACCGCAACAACAGATAAGCGTCTAAAGGAGACATTGCTTTTTCCTTGCCAACTAGACTTCCTTTACTTCAGTCACCATCTATATCTATCGCTCATCGCCTAACCGATCGATCGACCCATCCTCATTCGCTAAATGTGAATGATCATAAAAATTTGTATGACGACATGAATTCCGGCTTCCATATTCATTTCTTTCCTTTTCTTCAACAACACAATTACAGTGGTGCCGATTCTATGCCTCACTATTAACAGCAGTAATAATTTTCTTCATGCCATACGACCTTATTCTTGCATTTTGAATTTTGTGTTTTTTCTGTATCCGTTAAAGATGACAACAGAATACTGCGAATCTGTAATGTGAGATACACAACTCCAGCAAATTTATGCTTTGTCGGAATCTTAGCGATGAAATCACAGACAATACTTACTTGATGCTTGAATGGCCCGCCCTCCTGGTTGTGCGGGCCCCAGCATAATCACCATTTTTCGGAGATTTGCTGGTTAAGCCATTGTGGTTCCCTGGAAACCGAGGTCAGCCTCGCCAAAGTCTGCCCCAGGTCTTCACCACCACAGGCAGTCGCAGCCCTTGTGGATCAGAGGGAGGTTTTCCACCATACGACTAGGTTGGTACCAAGACGGTGACGGATCCTGGTATTGGTTTACCCTTAGCTAGGCTTCCTGATGGAAACGCCGAACTCCGCCTCAGCTTGGGAGACGCTGCCGGGGTGGAGACGAATCCCACCGCTGTACATCAGCCTGACACTCAGAAACACCTCCTAGTCACGATGAAGAGGTAAACCGTTGGGAGGTCACGGACAATCACAATAGGAATCACAGGATGCGATCCTGCAGTGATCGTGGTTCGTTTCCAAGCCAGTCCATCAGTTTCTGTCAA